GTTCGTTCTGATAACTAAAGTAGAAGGAAGAATTTAGAAACAAAGCCCAGCTTAACTCTTTTAACAAGTATACACATGGTCACTCAGAATTATGATTCCTGTTAGATGCCATTAGATTTAAGAAGTCTGCATGTTCCCAATGAGAGATACACAAACTCAAAAATGGAGCACATTAAAAGTCATGGGCAAACATTTTAAATGCAAACTCTACGCATAAGATGACTGCACCTTTCAACTTTCACCAGAGAGATTTCCTTATGCAGAAGATGGTGATTAATACAGAAACCCATAACTGGCCAACACACAAAGAACTCATCCCTGAATAGGACACCTATTTCAAACTTCTGCCTCCCAGGACTCAGAGATCATTTTGGAAGACGGGGCGAAAAGATTGTAAGAACTAGACGTAGTGGATGACCATAAGCAAACAAAGTTTTCCAAGCAACTGGTCAGTTACACATATGAATTCACAACAATGGTGACAACATGCACAAGTTCCTTGCAAACTTAAACCAGACAAAATCCCAGCAAAAATACTGGGAAGTGGGTATAAAATCCCACCCCAACCTAAGGAACTTTTGGCAACTGATGGAGGTTAGGAGGGGAAGAGACAATCTCTTAAAGGGATGGGACTCTTGGTAGGCTGACCAGGCTCCAGAGAATGGCCCATATTGAGGGTCATATGGGAATACAAATCAGACTCTATAGTTTATATTGTCTATATAGTAAATTACATTTAATTGGGGAGGGGTCAGTGGGGAGAGGTACAGATGGGGGAGGAGATGTAAATACCATCAAATTTATATTGTATGACTGAGGTAGAAAGGAGTAGAGCATGGAGGGCTTCCATGTTGGGTAGCTATTTCAGTGTTCCCTGAATAACTACATTCCCCACAGCCCCTTCCCCTTAGGTCTAAGATGTGCATGGCAGAGGCTTTGCTTCTTATGCTGAGGACAAGGGGTGGGGGTCTGTTATTTGCAGATTCTGGTCTTGGGAGAAATGATTTTCTCTGACACTCCTCCCACATCCCCTGAGGTCCAGATGTGGTCCTGGGTACCCAGGACTTGATGTTGGATCTCTCCCATTCCCAGGCACCAAGAGGTTTTCCATTATTTTTCTGTACTCATCTACAGCCCCAGTATGCCTTTACCTATACGCCAATTGAACTTCTAGAAATAACAATTACAGTTTGGGAAGTTAAATTAAAAAAGCATAATAGAAAGTCATGCAATAACTAAACTAATGTAATCCTCAAATTTCAAATATGTAAGTATATGTTAGAATATAAATTTGAAATTCTATATAGTGCTATGATTTTTAAATACTGTCTACTGACAAAAATATACTAACAAACTTCAATAATAATGTGAAATATGAAAAAATATATATTGTATGAGAATCAGAAAAATTCAACAAATTTTTTTAAAAACTATGATCAATATTGTACTATCAGAGGTATCACTTTAGAATATTATATCTAAGGAGGTAAATTAAAGGGTACAATGCTAGCAGCTCTCTACATCATAAACATGATCATTCATCTGAAATGGAGCACTGTCACTTACTTTATATGATGAAATCTAATTCTGCTCATACTTTACTCACAATTGTTTTTCTTTTTTTCCAGCAACTCCAATATTCCCTCCATTTGTCCAATAAAAAAGAAAATGATTCAGTTGTTTATTTTACTCTCACCTTTTCCTAAAATTCCCAAGTTCTCAAAAACTCATGAAATGAGTGTGCTACATGGAAATGTTTCTCCTACAGGTACCATTCCTAAAATCCAGGTTTGCAAGATGGAAATGTATTAAATAAAAATCACATAACTGTTTAACCTAAACTTAATTGCATTAAGTTTAAAAGTCAGATGTGCAAATCAATAAGAAATTAAAAGGTTTCTCAATTAATATCGGAATTTCCATTTTCCTTATCCTTATTATTTTTTAATATAGAAACAGAGTAGAAGACAGTATCAAGTAATATCTTAAAGCAACATTGTTTGAACATGCTCCTGCACAAAACCCATGGTAAATTGCGTTAAGTGGTCACAAGCATAGCATCAAATAGGAATAAGAAAGCTCATGGATTATGAATACTTTGAATCAAGAGACATTATGGTCCAGGAACTTTGGAAAATTCTCATATGCTTGTAGCATCACACCTCTCATATATATGTGAAGCAGTAAAGGAATCTATAAATTATTTAGGGTAATTCAGCCTACAGATCAATTTATAGTCCCCAAATATTTTAAACTGATACATCTGTCTTTTGTTTTAAAAGAAACATTTCACTTATTAAAAAAGAAACAAAACAAAACAAAACGCATACACATACACATGAAAGTGCTCACCCAAATTACATCATGGACTATTTTGCTTTCAGATATGAAGGTTGAGAGACACAACAGAGCCTCCAAGCATACTTCTTTACAGAATCGGTCAAGCTAAAAACTTGGAGATAGAGACAAAAGTGAGCACTGGGATGAGCCAGAAGGAAGTGAAGACTGTGTCCCCATGTTCTTCCTCCTAATCCTCAACTCCCATGCACAGAAGACTAGCTGAAAATGAAGGCAGAAGGCCAGGTGTGGTGGTGCACGCCTTTAATCCCAGCACTCAGGAGGCAGAGGCAGGTGGATCTCTGTGAGTTAAGCCCAGCTTAGTCTACCTAGTGAGTTCCAGGACAGCTGGGGCTACAGGGAGACCCTGTCTCAAAAAAAAAAAAAAAAAAAAAAAAAAAAAAACAAAAAAAAAAAGAAAAGAAAATGAAGGTAGAATTCTATTGCTAGTATATAGGCTCATTAGCATAGCTAGGTGACTTAGAAGCTTAGAATCAGCTGCACTGCAATCAATCAACCAACAAGTTTTCATTAAACACTTACTTAGATTTCCCACATTGTCCGAGAGTCTGCATATCTGAGACAGCATCCTATTCCATGCTAGACATTCAGATCCAGAATTAATCTACCCTGGCAACACCCTGCAATTCCATCAGAAAAGATTTCTTTCCCTCCACACCTGATCTGAGACAAAGTGCCCCTACTTAAGCAAGTGGCTTAAGCTATGGAATGGAATGACCATCACAGAAATTAATTAAACACATTTATTTAAACAAGCAGGAGCAGTCAGCAAAATTATCAGTGGAGTCAAAGGTGAGAGGGGACAGAAGAAAGAGCTGAGAAATCCTAGATTATGGCAAATAATACAGAGAAATGGGTATTTCTTAAACCTTCCAAACCTACCGTAGGCTATGAACATGTCCAGATCCATCCATATCTGAAGTCAAAGGAACGGGGTTTCAAAATTAACATTTTAATACTGCAGGAGAGGAAGAGAGATCAAGAAAGGGAGAAAGAAAGGATTCGTAATGCAGGTGCAAAAGTCAAGGAGGAAAAAGAATGTGTGTAACAAAGGGAGAAAAATTCCTGGGGTGAGAAGTCCAAAGAGAATCACCAGAGCTGTGACTTTACTCTCAAGCCAGCAGGTTTCCCTAACACTAGAGGGCAAGAACATGAGCAGGCAAAGGAGAGGGAGGAAAAAGGAGAGAGAGGGAGAAAGAGAGAGAAGGGGAGAGAGGGAGCGAGGGAGAGAATGTTGAGCAAAAGATTTCACCTAAAGCTGAAAAACTGGAAACCCCGAGGAAATCAGAAATGTCAAACGGGTGGTCAAGTGCCGTTAGTCCTGCAAATAAAATCTTTCGGTTGTTCTGGTAGGAGAGACAAGCATATTTCCAGGGGGAAATGCTCTCTTAAAACTGAGTGTGAAGTGGATAAAGCAGGGATGCCTTTCGACATTAGTCTTGTCTTAATCCCAAAGCTTCTGGCTGCCTGTCCACAGCTACCAGTAAAGCTGCAAATGAAGGCTCTCCACCTAGAAATTCAACTACACTCGCACACCCTTCCTTGTGCAGACCAGCCTCGGTGCGCGGGGATTCTGGAGGCAAAGAGCCCTGGACCCTGGTTGGGGAGGCCAAAGCGACGCCTTTCATTCTGTCTCATGAACCCCTCTTTCAGCTCCAAGGGAGCCCAGACCCAGTGGAAAGCAGCTGCTTCAGTCCCGCCTCCCCTTCCCGCAGGAGCAAAGCAAGGTCTCAGCACCTGGAGTGCTCAGAAGAGCAGCGGGGTGCTCCGGTGATCAAAGCACCTCGGGATCAGCGGAGCTGGGGTGCTGGGGAAGAGGGGCAGAGACAGGGAGGAAGCAGGGGAGACAGAGAAAGAGGAGGAAATCCTGCAAGAGAGATGAGGGAAAGAGACAGTACATCAGCGACACAGTGACAGCCCAAGAAAGACGGGAGGAAACAGAACGAAAGAGAAAAAGAGATAAGGATGGGTGCAGAGGGACCAAAAGCCGAAGGAAAATCATACCGACAAACTGAGTCAGAGACAGAGACACACACCATGAGAATACAAGGCAATTGAGGCACTGACAGAGACAGCCGTCGAGGAAGACAGCCAAGAACCAGAGCGTGCCCGGTGTCAGGTGGAGTAGCAATGGCAGCATCGCATCCCGGGGCTGTCCGCAGCTAGGAGGAGAAAGTTGCCCGGGAGGGGATGCTAAACCACTGCCAGGGGAGAGCGCCCCCAGGGTGTGGATGGGGACCAGTGCATCCCAGCCCAGAGGGTAGCGGGAAAAGCTTAGGGAGGCCGGCTGCAGAAAGTTCAGCGCCTCACCATCCTCAGGCCGCGCCTGCAGCACCAGGCGAGCGCGCTCCAAGCTCCGGGAGAGCAGCTCCGAGGTCTTAGCCCCTGTCCGGGCTGGGCTCCCCTCCCGGTACTCTCGGCGAGACTTTGCGGCACCCAGCCAGGTGTATGTAGTATGCAGGGGAACCGTCCCAAATCTTCACCAAGAACAGGAGAGCAAGAAAGAGACGGAGACCTGCTATGGTGGCGGTCGATCCCGCGGAGAGAAGGGCTGTCCCCACGCGGGATGCCGCCCGGGTCCCGCCCCGAGGGGCGGCCAGCTGCGCCGAGTGCCGCGTTCAGCCCGCCGAGCCCGCGCTCACCTGCTGCCCGCGCAGCCCAGCTCTGCCTCGCCTCTCTTCACACTTGGCGCCCTGCAGAGCCAGCCAGCCGGGGCCTCGGCCAGCCGGGGAGAGCCTCCCTCATAGCTCAGCGGCCGGCTCCCGAGTGCAGCGAGGACAGGCGCCCGGGCCGGGGAGGCGCAGGAGACGGAGCCGGGCTCCTAGCACATCGTCACCCTGGCGGAGCCGCCGCCGCCGCCTGGTCACTTGGTCCCCGCCCCCTCCGCCGCTCCCTCCCCTCCCGCAGTCCCAGTCGGGAGGCCTGTCACTGGGCTAGGATCATTTACGTAACCAGCACCCCGGTCCTCCTCCCGCCCGGCTCCAGCTCCCGCTCCTCCCTGGGCTGGGCGCTGCGCACCGAGCGCGCTCCAGCTGCTCCTGGAGCCGCGGCTCCTGCGAGGCGCACAAGTCCCGCGATACTTGGCGGGCACGGCCCCCAGGAGCAACTGTGGGGTCCGCTCCCAGTCCCCGGTGCCTCGAGAACCCCGCCACCCCGACTACGCGCTGCAAAACCTACCTGCACGGCGTACCGCGTTAGCTCCCGAGCCAGCGAGCCTCACAGAAGGGTACCGGGGGTCCGGGACTACCCTCGGGGAAAGTTCCAGAAACCTACCTCACCCTTGCCGTCGGCTCTCTAGCGGAGAGATGCTGTCAGGAACTTAAGGCTTGGGCTCGGATGCAGAAAAGATGGACAGAGTTTGGCCTCTCAGCCAGTAAGGTTCAAGCTCCCTTCCAAGATCCTAGTGGTGTCAGCGGCTGCAGCCACTGCCACCCAGCGCACCGTGGGAGAACTGGGAACAGAGTGAGCACCTTGGTGTAATTTTTTTTAAGGCAGAGGTAAAGAAAAAAGTGGGGCTTTGAATTCCTTTCTCGGTCAGGAAGGTATAGTAGAGCGCGCAAGCGCGCGATCTAACCTATTGGTAAGTCAGGAAGAACATGGGGATGACTCAAGAGCTCACAAGGTCATTGGGCCTGGCCTCTTTCTTCTAAGCCAGATTTTCCTCTGCAGAACTCATTCAAAAACTTTCCTTGAATGATCAGGAAACCTCTCCTGCATATTTTTTTTTTCAATTTGCTGTGAATCTATGATTATTTAAAAATTAAGAGCTTAGAAAAGTCTTCCTCATGGGCCAGTGTGATGGCTCAGTGGGTAAATGTGACTGCTTCAAAGCCTACAAACCTAAGTTCAATCCTAGGATCCACAGGGTGGAGGGAAAAAAACCAACTCTGACAAGTTGCCCTCTGACCTCCATGCATATGCTGTGGCATGAGTATGTACATATGTGTGCATGCACACACACACACACACACACACACACACACACACACACACACACACACCCTAAGTATCAGAACGCTTCCATAGCTGAGTTAACATGTAGTGCAATGTAACAGGAAATCCTTCGTACTAAATGGTGTCAAAATACGCGTGAACATTCTAGATTGGTGTACAACGAACAGATTTAAAATTCGAGTATTTGTATCTGAAAGACTTGCTGGAAACCTGTCCTTTGCTTCCATGTGCGAGTAATTCAAGAAAACTGGGATTGCTGGGTTCAAGGATCCTCCTCTGTTGCTTTGAAGCTTTGATCACTGACTTTGTTCATTCTTAGGATTTTAAAATCTTATTTAGAAAAAGGAGTGACAAAGATAATTTCTTCTCACGGTGTTCTTGTGTGTCATGATTTATTGGGCAGATTAGGGAAGGCAAGGACAGCTATTTCAAAAAATATTAAGAGCTATTTTGTACAAACATATGATACTATTAATTATAATGTACTATGTCAAAGATATTCTTGATTACACTCAGGAATGGCAATTTCTACAGATGTAGTTTTGCATCTTTATGTGAATTAATTATCAATTTAGATTAGTATGACGACTGTCTCCCTCCACATTGTCACATTGTGCCACTTCTACAGCACAATAAACATGCAACATCACCCTGCAATCCCAAATACTCAGGAAGAGGCTGTGGCAGGAGGATTCCTTGAGTCTGTGAGTTCAAGACTTGCCCAGACAACATAGCAATACCTGTCTCAAAACAAAAACTAGCAATAATTATGAAACACTTAACATGCTTTAACACATGTGAAAAGGCACAAGGTTCCACAGGTAGAACCAGGGACTCTCAGGAATTTGTCTCTAATATTCCCACTTCTGATCCAGTTCTGACATCAGGCCATTTACCTTCAGCATATTGAGAAAAGCCATAAACCAATAAATAAAAGATTGCCTCTCAAATACTGCCACAGTAACTTACCAGTCATGTGTGTCCTTGAGAGACATATAGCCCCTACCCCTACGTTTGTCATTGCTCTAAAATGAAACAATACTATTTTGGAACCTCTGTAATAATAGCTAACTTGGACAAGAATCATAAATCTGGTTGGCAAAAGTTGCATATGTAACTGGTATTTGTGTATAGTCCCAATGTGTCTCTTAGAAATTATTAGCTTTTGTTGCCTAACACATCGTCTGAAGACTTAATGGCTTAAAACAATACACATCTGCAATATCTAAAGTTCTGTGGGCTGTCAGGAAGGGGTTCTTCCTGAGCTGTCTAAGTCTTGATGGGAGTATCTGCCAAGGTGTATTACAAAGGAGAATGCACACAGAAATAAGAAACCTTTGGCCGCCTTTGTAATCTGCCATACATTCTTAATTACAAAGGGATAAATTATTTGTGGTAGATAAATCTGGTAACCATCACATTTATCAAGTGATCAGTGTCAGAATCACCAATAAGAGATCAAGTGATACCTGAGCACTGATACATGAGGCATCGAAAAGTTCATAATATAATTCATTTAATGTTCCAGGTGGAAAAGGGTCTACTGGAATGCAATCGTAAGCAAGCAAAGACAAATCCAAACTAAAGGGAATTTTACAAAATACACTGTATTTTTAAAAATTGTCACTGGTGATGAAAGTCAATGAAAAGTTAAGAAACTGTTCCAAACTAAAGGAGATTAAAAAACAAGATTACTAATTGTTTTTTATTAAACACAACTGGATACTAGACTGGGGTAAATATCTGTACATGACATCATTGAGACATTAAAAAGTTATGAATAAAATTAATAATCTTGGCCTCTATTTTATTTTCATTTTTTATTTAATATGTATGCATGTATTGCCTGCATATAGGTAAGTGCATGTCATACAATGCCCGCAGAGGACAGAAGAGACTGTCAGATCCCCTGGAACTGGAGTTACGGACAGTTGTTCACTGCCATGTGGGTGCTGGGATACGAACCTGGGTCTTCTGCAAGAACAACCAGTGTTCTTAACCACTGAGCCATCTCTCCAGCCCCTTGGCCTCTATTTTTAAAAATCTTTTATTTATGGTCACTTGAAATTATTTTTGTACCATTATTAACACTTCTAATATGGATTACTTTACTATGTTATATCTGAGAAAGCCCCTGATGTTAAAAAATATTTTATTTATTGTTTTTACTTTATGTGTTGACTGTATTGCCTGTATGTGTGTAAGTGCACCCAAGTCCTGAAATGCTGGTGGAAGCCAGAAGAGGGCATCAGATCCCCTGGAACTGGAGTTATGAATGGTTGTTAGCCACCATGTGAGTGCTGGGAACTAAACCCAGATCCTCTGCAAGAGCTACCAGTGCTCTTAACCACTGAGCCTTGTCTCCAGCCCCCAAACCCCTGATTTTAAGAAATATATAATAAAATATTTGGGAACAAAAATGGTATACAGCTTGTACTGCATTCATAAATGGTCCAGAAATACCTAGAGAGAGAGAATGACACACGTGAGAACTATTGATGAATTTAGGTGAAGGATATAGGTACCTTGTAGAAATGTGTAAAATTCCTGTAAGTTCAAAGCTATGTTTTCAAAAATAGGTAGAGCAATCTTTCCTTATCTCACAAGATTAAACATCAAAGTTTACATTAAAGAATGCACATTGAAAAAATGTCATATTGTACTTTTTAAAAATAGAAACCAGGAGATAATATTTAATCTAAGAGCAGGTATTGTACACACTTGTTTAGATAAGTGGAATGATAATTATACAGTTGACTATAAAGCATAGTGACTAACCTGGAGAATGTACAAACACAGGGTGTCAGCTTAGCAGCTAGAGTTGCCCATTCGGTGCTTAACCAAGATTTAGTCAAATAGGAAATAAAGAATGAGTTTGATATGTGTTGCTGAAATTAAGTTACCAGTTTTGGGAAATGATTAAGAATTAAGCAGAAATAAAAAAGATACTGCATCACTTTAACAATGTATGATTGGATGGATGTAAGAATAGAGATGTCATTATTAAGAGAAACAAATCCACAATATAAAATGAACGTATAATAATTTTCAACTAGAGTATTTCAGAAGTTTCTCATTATCTTTAAGTATTCATCTAAAATATCTTGAAAATGTCCTATGAGAACATTTGAAATCAGGGTCCTTGGTTATTCCTTAATACCTACCATGAGTTAAATACTGGGTAGGTATAGGAGATAAAAAGGAAGTAAAAGCAACCTTTGGGGCTAGAGAGATGGCTCAGCAGTTAAGAGCACTGGCCACTCTTTCAGAGGACCTGGGTTCAATTCCCAGTACCCACATGGCCACTAACAACCATCCATAACTACAGTTCTGGGGGATCCAATGCCTTTTTCTGATCTCTGCAGGCATTGCACAACACAGGTGCACTTACATACATGCAGGTAATACAATCATAAACATAAAAAATTAAAATATATATATATATATTTAAATGTAACCTTCGTGGAAGCTACAGTTTCAGGTCATTCATTTAACATCTATACATAGAAGTTAGATTGTAGGGTAATTTTTTATTGAAAATACAAGTATTACAGTATGACAACTATTTGCTAGACACTGAGAGTATTAGAGTGATCAAAAAGACATCAGGGTTTCATGAATACTAACTCTTTGCAAAATATGTCCTAAACAAATGAGCAAGTATGTACTTATATCAAGTAATGATAAATTCTTTGTTTCCATATTTGATGGGCAGTGTTCTTTATTAGCAGGACATAAACTAATGGAACTTTGTCCAACTGTCATTGGTCTTAGACTAATGACATCTAATAGTAAAACAGACTTTTAGTAATAAATTCCTAAAACAACTGAAGAGCTGAACTTTGTAACTAGTGTTCTAAAAATGGTTTACAGATATGCCATGAAACATTGATCATTTCATTCATCAGAAGTGGCCACATAGTATTGCCTCAAGATTTCAGTGATCCTCTATAGGTAGGCCTCTAGTTATAATGAGCTTACCAAGGAGGGTTCCAAGGAGAATTGAGCA